ACAAGCAAAGTCAATGGGGAAGCTGGATTCGCTTAATGACCATGGCAAAAAAGGTTGCAAAATCAGGTGTGATTCACTTAACGACTGCATTGTTTAGCAATGGGAGTTCTGGTCCCCATTGTGGTCGTAAGTCGAGGACTACCTGTATTCACTTCTTTTTGCCTTGATATGGTTTCTCATCACTAGTTCCAACAGCTCACTGAGATGCTTTACAGGAACTGCAATAGTTCTTGTAAACAGCATTGAAGGGTTTCCAAAATTCAAAGAGAAGGAAAAAAGACAACAAGTGTTATGAGTCAAATCTGTATGGTAAGTACTTGTCCTTCTAAGTCCAGGGTCCTGAAGATGCTGCCATTCTGTTTGCCTGATGGGACAGGCAATAAAGCCCAGGAAAGAACACCAGGGAAAATAAAGAGGGCAACGGTAGCTATGCAACCATGATCTAGGAGGTTCCTTAGAGCTACTTTTGGAATGAACAGGGAGATTAAGGACAAGTGAAAGTGTCATTGAGGAATTTGTGGCAGTAAAAGGGATGAGAGTACCAAAATGAGAACCAGCAGTCCCCAAGCCTAGGAAGAACTCTTATGTAAACATATCTCAGTTACCTCCAAGGCCATCAGGAGATCATCCAAAACTCTGACAGCTTCCCCCAGGTGGATCTCTTTGAGGGGGAGGGGCTTTGCACCAACAAAGATCTCAAGGAAGCATCTTCTCAAGAATGTCTGACAAAGCAAAATGCCCCCTACCCCCTCTAACAGTGACAATAATCCACTGTATTGCTTCATGAACTCCGATTGGTTTATCTCTTTCCATATTTGCAAGAAGGGGGCTTCTGTAGGGGTGGGGGGCATTCTTTGGTGGGTCTTCTGGCATTTACCAAAGCACTGGAAGGCATTTTGGGGCAGGCGTGGCTATTGTATTCTCCATTATTCTTTCCTACCACTTTTTGTCCCATTCAATGAAGGGGAATGTGCTTTCAGATCTCACTCAACTGAAGGAGAACTTCAATAAAATGGAATAGGGCATTCCTGTACTTGTTTATTTAGGAGATGGTGATTATGCAATCTCTTGTTTGTTACAATGCAGCGTTTTTGGCTTCCCATTTTTCCATCAGGTCCCAATGGAAGAGGTCAGGGAGAAGTCCTCTTACATTGCCCTCACTTTTACATTTTCCTCCTATCCTATACTAGGTAGAAAATTACCCAGGGATGACATTCACTGGGCCTCTAACCAGTCCTTCTCCTGCGTCTGTTTGAAATCACTGTAATCACTTGATCTCCTTCCAAGTAATAGGTGCCATAGCCTGGTAGATTTTACACATCTCGAGATTGTTCTTGGATGGTGTTGGAATAAGGGGGAAAACACTACTTCAGCACCCAAACAGTGAAGGATGTTTCTTTCATTCATGGGCTGGGGTTCATGGGGACAGTGCAGGAAAAAAAGGTTGCTGGGCTATCTCTGTACCATGTAACTCTGTACAATTAGTCATCTATTATCCTTCCCCCCCCCCCATTTCAATTAATCATATGTTACATTTCCCAAGTAGGAGAGGAAAGTCTTAAATGAAGGGGAATCAAAAATAATATTCTTTTGGCTCCCAGGTATAGATTCAACTCCTGCTCCAAATGAGTATTATGTGGAGAAGGTGCATCCTGTTGATGAAGCAAATGCACCAGCGTACAGCATAGGTGCGCGAACACCATATTGGCTGAATAGCCCAACTCCGGGTCCCAACAGCTATACCCTCCCTGGGACAGTGGGTTCCCAGTTATGCAATAAAACAGGGGCTCCCTGCTTATCGAGGACTTTTGGCACACCCGGACGTGATTATATGCCAAGAAGAGGGCCTGGCCCAGCTGCCTATACGATTCCAGAGCCAGGTGTTTACTTGAGACAGCAGCCTTCCTATACATTATCTCAAAGGTTCAATCCTTCCACCAAGGAGTGTACACCAGGGCCGCTGGACTACAATGCAGAACAGGTCACCATCCACAAACCCAGAGCCCCACGCTTCAGCCTGGGCGTTCGCCACTCTGAATATGCCCACGGCACGCCTACAGTTTACCTCATCAAAGAGTGAGTGTCACCTTGGGCACTTGGAAGACAAGATGACCTTTGGAAAGACTCAGCTGCCAAAGATCTTGTCCTGGGCAGCTTCATCCACTAAGCTCAAGCTTATTTTGATGGGCAATCTGGTTGGCAGATTTAAGAAGTTGTGGATGATGGTTAAGTTGGGGCTGTGGGCCATTTGTTAGTTCCTGGATCTAAAGTTCTCCTTTGCAAGATCCTGTCCGAATCCTTCCCGTCTTCTTTCTCATCCTTCTGGTATCTCCTGATAACATTTTTCAAGAAAGTGACTTGGATAGAGTATTGTTTACCCTTCCCCACTGATTTATTGTTGGAAAAGTTTCTGCAGAGAAAGTAGACAAAATGTCTTCTTTCTGTGACTATTTAAAGAACAATAAAATAATGTATAGATACTAAGTCCATAGCACACGTTCTTTGATGCAGAAGTTCTCCTGGGCCTTGTGTTCTTCTGTCCATACTGGGAAAGGAATTTGATTATTTAATCTAGCTATTTAATTGAATTATTCCATCTGGAAGTTCTGCCATAAATACATGGAATTCAGTTGAGGTAAGGGATCTTAGCTTGGAATTATCTGCAGTTGCTGGACTACATCTCCCAGAATCCCACTCCATTGCCCAAGTTGCCTTGGCCTCCCTGGGACCTGTAGTTCAGCAACTACGCTTAGCACTAAGGAATAAGATTTAGCAGTAGGATTACAGACCTTCTCCAGAAGATGGCATCCTTGTCCTATCATTTCTGACTGTAAATCTCACTGAATCTCTTTTGTAGGTGATACAACCCACCATGATAAGAAAGCAAGGAGAAAGCAAAGCCCCTAGAAATAAATTCCAGAAGGAAAAGGGATGGGCCAGTATGTATTCTGGGATTGCTCAGAAATGCAAATTCGGAATGAAAGGACTGCACACCACACAGTGTCACAAGCCACCTTTATTCTTCAGTTATTTATGTTCTATGCAGACCCATCTGATGTCACCCATGGTTTGCAAACCCCTCCACGGATGAAATTCATGTTGATTTCATTTGGGTGGGAGTTAAGCTACCTTGATTTAATTCAGAATTGAGGTGGGTAGACTCACCTATTCCCTCCAAACAATAATTGGAAAAGAATTCGGATTCTTGTTCTGAAATGTTCACCTAATCCTGGTACTTTTTAGGTGCCTCCGTTGGAATGACAATGTCAATAACAATAAAAATTAGACTTTCTATGCTCCCATTACTGAAATTTCTCATGGCTTTACAATTAAAAATTAAAAGCATGCTAAAAGCAAGTGATTAAAGAGGAATTTTAAGGATCAACAATTAAAAACCTAAAAAAGCTTTTTAAATAGCAGACGAGGAATTGGGCCATGCAATTCAGCAGGAAGTAGATTCTGAAGATCTCCCCTTGTCACAGAGGACAGGAAGAAGGTCATCCCTGGACCTTCCAACCTGCTCTTCCTTTACATAAGGCAGCATGGTTTGCCCTGGAAGAGTTTCACTGAAGATATTTTTCTTTCCTTCTGCCTTTTGATCTCCAACAGCTAGGTTATTTCTCCAGGCTTCCAGATTTTTTCCTTTGGATACCAAAGTCCTTAGAAATGCAAGGCCTCTACTCCACAGAGCACATTTTCAAGCCTGAGTGAAAAGCTTTGCCTTGCAACACCTCAAGTTTGTCAATTGATGAGAATGTTTGGAATATTCAAATCCCGTACACATTAGGGAAGGTGTAACAGCCAGTTTGCAAGTACAGGAGACACATTTAAGTGTGCCAGATAAAGTGTTACACTTAGGAGATAAACTCCATAAATGCTTATGCATTTGATGAACTTTGCTGCTTGCTTATTTGCAACCATGGATCTTGGTTGCAGAGAAACTGAACATTGCAAGATGGGAAGAGTTGCACAGTATATGTACACATACATACATACTGCTATTTCTGTCTGTCTGTCTGTCTGTCACCTATTTATCCATCTTAAAGAGTCACACATTCCACAGAAAAATGCACAGAGAACTATGCATTACCAGGTGGTGGAAAAGATGATGATGAAGATGATGATGAAGAAGATAAAGATGATGATAAAGAAGACGATGATGATCTATGAGTACATGCAGAGTGGATTCTCAGTAGATTGGCACACCCTTACTCTGTACAAGATTGTACTGAACTTTGTTGGAAAAAAAACACTTTGAAAAAAATATTACCGTTTTAAACTGTTCCTAAATTAAACAATGCTATGATTTCACCTATAAGAAAAAATCCCCAGTCCCTAAACTAGCAGGGATGACTAACTGTGCAGAACAGATGTTGGAGGATTCAACTCCCTTCGAAACACCTTGGGTGCTCATGCTCGCTAGTTACGCAACTGCATCATCTTGGCTCGACAGAAAGTCTGCATTGTTCAAAAGCCACAGGTTGTTAGAGGGGCCATCATTTCCCTCTGTAGGCAGCCGATGTAGGCATGATGGCCATTGACCATTCGACAAAGAGGGGTGAGGAACAAGAAAGAAAAGAAGGAAGGGGAAATTAGGAGCGTTTGGGGTAGGGTTGGAATGAATTGGTCAGAATACAAAGTGCCAGACCTCCCACGTTGCTATTGCTTCCTTCTATTACATAGTTGATTGTTAACCTTGATTTCTCTCCCGCCATTTCTTCACTAGTAATTTATGGCTCTTGCTGCTTCCTTGCCGCAATAATGGTTGAATAACTCTAGAAGACACTCTAAGCCAGTGTTGTCCAAACTTGGCCACTTTAAGATGAGTGGACTTCAACTCCCAG